GAGATTGACTCACCGCGGGTGTTGCTGGAGAGACGTTTGCGTTGGCTGGTGGAGGTATTGTGGGGAAGCAGGGTGTTCTGCTGGTGGTTGCTATCGATGGGACTCGTGGCAATGATGTTGTCCTTGTATTTGTTCATTAGCGCCAACTTGGTGTTGTCACTCACTGCAGATAAGAAGAAGGATTTTTTAAATGTAAGCTTACCAACCTTAAAGCTTCCTAAAGTCACGTGTTTTATATTTGACACATGAGTTTGAGGTGGAAGGTTCAATAAAGACTCTTTTTTTTTGTTGTTTAATTTAATCTTTGGGCAAAGAGTTAAAATGAGAAAGCACCCACTTGGAAAAACATTTGTTTCTTTGCTTTGGCTTGACGTGGCAAGCATAACGTGTTACCAATACTAAGAAAGAAAATCCAGGATGTTGTTTACTGTACCAGAAGTCAAACAGGCAAAATTAAAGACAGACAAAAGCTGGCATGAAATGAAAACTTATTAAGGCATTAGACAGAGCCCATTTAAGCCTCACAGGGAAAAATGATCTATTTCTGTAAATATTAAGAGCTGAAGTCCCATGGAAACAATAAAAATCATATATTACTGCAGATATGTGACTGTCATGGTATTTAGTCACACTGTTTGTCATGGTAGCTGTAATTTTCTGCCAATGTCAGTATGTCCTCCACTTTGTTCCAGTTTAAAAAAAACAAAAATCACACATCTGTGTCATGGATTCGGATTAAATTTAATTCAGGATCTCTGTGGAGGATGTTTTCAGATGCCTTGTCTCACCATAATTTCTAAAATATGTGTGCGTTAGCTTAGAGAATTGCAAAACAGCAAAAAGAAATGAGCGAAAGCATGAATTATTAACAAAAATAAATAAATCCATCAGTATTTTTAAAACGTCGCTTGCAGAGGTCTAGTATGTGGTATATTTTCTAATACATGCCATTGTATTCAATAATTAATAAGCTCAACTAACCAGTATATTTGTCCATCTCAGTGTAATTCAAACTAATAAATAATGACACAAAATGTCTTAATAACAATAAACTACAGATAATTTAACACGTATTTCTCTATTATTAATGTCTTTTTTTAAAATATGGAAACAATAAAATGTTGCAATTGTGCAAAAGAAAAATCTTTATGAAAATTTTGATATTTTAAAGAAATAAAGTTTTATTTCAAAACATTTAAACAAGATTTGGTAGAACAACAGTAGCCGCACTACCAGGTACAGTAAACTGTAAGACAAGATTATTTTGAAGAAGTACAAAGTGCACAAGTGACAACAGACATGAAACGCCCCTGACATCTTGTTTTTCATTTGGTTATGTATGTGTACCTACTACATTATACATAGAGCAGTGAAAAGGTCAGAGAAGCCAAAGCACATTTACTGAAATTCATTATTTTAAGTCTAAATTCAAATGTTATTTTCTGAGTGACCTCTCTGATGTTCACACTATTTACTATTCCATGCATGAGCTGCTGTCTCCATTTTTTATTTCTCTAGTTCATTGCGTATCTTAAATGCATTATGCACAGGATTACTCTGCTCCATAAGCGCCGGGGCGGAGCGGTTTGGATTTTACAAGAGCACAGCTATAAGAGATCTCCTGATGAATCCGAGTGGTGACTCTCTCGTTAGTTGAAATTCAGAAGCCGTACCTTCATCACAACTGCTCCACTTCATGAAGTAATTCTCATGGGAGTGGTGCTCAACTCCAAAGTCCACCAATTGTGAAAAATGCTTTCTCTAAAACCGAAAATCCAGATTT